TTTTTTTTGGTGACTTTAAAGTGATACACTCCTGTAACATCAGAGTCCCTGCAAGGGCTCATTGGGGGCTGAGCTTTTAGAAGGTTTTTTGTGTTCATTTTCCTGAAGAATTTAGTGACTGAGGTCAAAGACAGTAAAAGAAACCACCTCAGCAGCAGCCACACACGGGTTGTAGAAGTGTGTGTTCATGTGGTGCTGAGGTTTTCAGCTGGTCCTGGTCCCTTTGGATTGATTCCTCACTGGTGGGAGTCAGCTCAGTCCAGTTTCTGCCCCTGCCCTGACGTGTGACCATGGCCGTGTCCTCCTGCCCACCCTGCTGACTTGTCACCCCGAGCAGCAGCATGGGTTGGGAGGGTTGTGGTGCTGAATTAATGTCTGCAGGACACTTTGATCTCCCAGGTGTCAGCCCTGCAAGGGACCTTGGGCTGGGAGGGCTGTTGGCAGGAGCTGATGCTGAGGCAGATGTGCTGGAGGCAGATGCGGTGCCCCGGCGAGGATCAGCTCTGTCTGTTCGTGACCAAACCCCATCTGGGGGCGGCTTCTGATGCAAACGCTGCTGTAAAACCAGCCCTCAGCCCCAGCTGTTTGATGTTCTCAGTGGTGCAGCCCCATTCCAAGGCCCACCAGCAGATCCTGTGGTACTTTGGCACTGAGATCCTCCTGGAGAATGGCGAGATAAACTTCGAGGCTCTTGGGGACATGATCTTCTCCCAGCCGGAGAAAGAGCGGCTGCTGAACTCCATCACCTCCCCTGAGATCCTGAAGGAGATGCTGAAGCAGATCCTGAAGTCCTTTGTGCTCGGTAAGAGGCCAAGTCCCAGCCCTCGGGGACTCCTCTCAGGCAGGAGCTGTCCCTGAATGTGGGGAGAGGGACAGGGACGGAGAAGGGGAAGGGACATTGAGTGACAGCCTTTGTGCTCTGCCTGTGGTGGCCTTTGGAACATTCATTCCTGATTCACTCCTGCCTTTCACTGCTGCCCTTCACCGCCTTCCTCTGTGGTTTAAAGTGTATCTGTGGGGCCTGGGAGCAGCTCTGTGAGGCCTGTGCTGAGATCACCCCCCAGATAATGTCCCACTCCCGAAATGGCCGAATATCCTTCCCTGCCCCTGGCCTTGGTGGGAGCTGTGCAGCCCTCGGAGCGCCGATAAGGTGAGGGACGGGCTGACAGCTGTGGGTTCCAAAGTCCTGCCTTCCCCCCAATATAGGGAACAAATGCAACTGTCAGGCAGGGCCAGAGAAATGCCAGATAAGATCACCAGCTGTTCCGGAGGTCTCCGTGTATGACAGACTTCACAGAGCCAGTCTGGATCCGCGGTGCTTATTGGAGCTGGAGCCCTGTGAGAGCTGAACAGGCCTGTGCAAGGGCTCCATGGGGCCAAGCTCTGCTGCAGGGTGAGGAGGAGGAGGGACACAAAGAAAGCAACAGGTAGGAAAGCCGGGAGGCAGAGATGGAGTCTTGAAGCCGGGGCTGCGGGCTCAGGCGGCGGATGCTGTGCTGGCCCTCGGCAAGAGTGCTGTGTGGCTTCAGCAGTCAGCTTTGTCCTCATTAGTCAGGATTTAATGATTTGGGATAGCTGGATGTTGTCTCTGAGGATCGCTGTGTAAGGAAAGCTCTGATCGATCAAACTGGAGGGCAGCAAGAAGCCTCTGGGGGCGGAGATGCGGTGGAATGGGGCTCCTTGGATGATGTCTCTGTCCAGGCTCTACTTGCCGTGGGTTTTAGGGGGGTTGGGTTACAAAGAGGGGACAGCAGCAAAAGCTGAGATGTCCCTGTGGCTGAGGCACACATAGGAGAGTGAAGTCCTGGCTTAGAGCTTTCCCTTCCCCTCTCCTGCTCCCCCAGGCTCAGCAGGGCATCTCCACCTCCCCAGATGCCACAGAGCTGGCGCTGGCCAAGGGCAGAGGCACAGGGAAAACTGGGGAGCCACAGGGCCTGGGGGGACAGTGACTGGCTGTGGCAAGCTCTGTTCCTCATGGTGACAGTGCTTTTAAACCAAACTCGGCCAGTTTTGGTGAGGGTTCAGCCTTGGGGCCATGCCCAGAGGCTCACCCATGTTTCAGTGTCACAGCTGCGAGAGGTCTGCAAGGATTTCCTTGTTCCCCTTGGAAAAATGGAGCTGTATAGCCAAAGCTTTGCATAAAGGCAGGAAAACTGAGCTGGAGAAGGTTGGCTCAGATGACTGACTGCAGCCTGACAAAGTCTTGGACAAAGGAAGAAGCGGATAGCAGACCCTGCTGTGGACACTGTTTCCCAGGAGAGCCCAGCATGGCTGCCGCTCTCGCCAGACAGGTGCTGCTGCTCTCATTTCAGCTCCTTGTTTCAGCTCCTCCTTGTATTTCTGCATCTTCACCTCTAGTCTGAGAGCAACCACGTTAGGGTTGGTTTTATTTTTTTCCTCTGGAAACTTGGAATGAAACCATTTCCTCCCTGCGAGAGCGAGGAGGGCAAACGGACTCTGCTGCAATTGTGAAACTGTAGAGCTCCCACTTCCTTTGCTTTTCATGGCCATGGTGTGTGCGTGGCAGGAGGGATTTGGGAACGGGGGTTAACGCTGTTCCCTTTTCTGAGGGGTGTAGTCCCAGAGTCTGCAAAAGATCAAAATTTTTGTTATACCACTTACCCCTCGCTCCAAGGGGGAAGCCCACAAAGGTGACTTTGTCTGTATTGGTCAATTCTTGGACTTCTTTCTCCAGATGCTGGTACTTTTTCACTTTTTCTTTCTCTACTTTCTCTAGCGTGGTGTTCTCCTCTTCATATCGCACTGTCACATCCACAACAAGTGCGTGTTTTTCCTTTACAAAGATGAGGTCAGGTTTAAACAATTCCCCATCTTTGTCTCTTATATTAGGTTCCTGATAGACGACCCAGTCTTTCTTTTTCGCCTCCTCCGAAAGCATGCCACAGATGTAATTATGGCGCTTTATCCTGGCGTCTTTAACGACCGGGCATTGTCCGATGATATGAGCACAGGATTCGTTCCCGGCTTGGCAATGTCTACAGGACCTGATGTATCCTTCCTTCTGTCCTCTCGCCAGATATTCTCTGGTGGGATAGACATTCGCCCTCAATTGTAGAGCTGTCAAGAGCTCTAAAGAGAGCCCCAGCTACTCCCCCTCTTTACCCGCACCTCACACGGTGCCTTTTCTTTCCCGCGCAGACCGCAGGGCACAAATCACGCCTTCGCAGCGCCCGCCCAGGGCCCCGGAGAAGCCCTGAGGCCAGCTCCGCCCGCTAAAAGCTCGGGCGACAGCTCCACGCGCCGACAGCCCCGCGGCCGAGCCACCTAAAGAGAGTCCCAGCTACTCCCCGTTTACCCGCGCTGCACGCAATGCCCTTCCCTTTGCCCCTCGGAGCCCCGTGCAGAAAGGTTAGTGCCTCGGCGCCCGCCGAGGGCCTCGGCTCAGCCCTTAGAAGCCGCTCTCGCCGCCCGACTCGGAGAGCGGCTCCAGCCCATGCACCCGGAGAACAGGTCTACCCTCTGCGCTGTGCGAACAGGTCTACCCGCTGCGTCGGGACAAGAGGTCTACCCGCCGGGCGCCGACACCAGGTCTACCCGCCGGACGCGGGGTGGTGAAGCAGCCCCGGTTGCTGCCACCCTTGCCCCGGTCGGGGAAGGCATTGTGGTGAGGGGGCAGTGTGGCCCCTGGTGCTCTGTGGTGCTGTGGGTTGGGTGGCCCTACAGAGCCACCCCATACAGGGTGACATGTGCCACATGCCTTGGGGACAGGGCCACACATCCCCCACACCCACCCTGGGAAACACCCATCTGCGGGGGGGACGGGTGCCATGAACGTGTCCTGGGGCTTTCCCTTTTTCCCAGTTGGCTGCAAGCCATCCCCTGTCAAAGGTGATGGATCTTCCTTTGTTCTTAGCCCAGAGAGAAAAGGAACCTCGTGTACAAAATGGTCCTAAAAGACTGAATTTTTTCGGAATTTTCTCATGTCCCTTATCCCACTGAAAGAGACCCTGATACCCAAGTTCAGCTCTTGTAACTTGGATATCTTACAACTTCATGATACGGCTATTTATATAAAAACTGTATTTTTGTTTCTCATACAAGGACATGGAGAGAGCCACCTTTTAGCCACTCATACATCCCACAGATCCAGGCAGTTACAACTCCTTTGGGAACCATGGTTCCCTGGGACTGCAGCTCTGTTTATGTACCAGAGTAAACAGTCTCACCACTGGAGTCCTCTGCTCTTGCCCCTGACAGCTGATTTCAGAGACATATTTTGTTTCCCAGGCTGATAGTCCCAGGTAAACCAGGAGCTGAGACAATCAAGCCAAGATCAAATGGATCAATTCAAATGGGATGCTAAACCAATTAATAACTGAGAGGGATCTGCTTACACTGCCAGCATTTACCGTCACAGTTCTGCAGCTGCTTATTGTTACAGTGGAAATACTTTTTTAAAGTAATTCAAAGCTAGAAAACACCAAACTAATGCTGGACTTCCAAAGACACTTTTCTCTGTCTGGATTCCCTAAAATGACGTAGTTGGTGGAGTTCCTCCCCCTGTGCTCTCTTGCCATGTATTCCAGGACAGCAACCACAACTTTTGACTCTTGCATGATCTGGAATTTCCACCCATGGGACTCTGGTGCCTGTATAATCTCTCTATCCTGTCTGTGGGCTCCTCAAGATTAGAATTCAGGATTAAAGTCGGGAGACTTACAAAAAAACAAACAAAAAACCCCCACCACAGACCAGAAGCTTTTATTGACTGAAATTTCCCCGCTTCTTTCCTCAACAGGAAAATAATTATGGTAACAAGGAAAAAAAAACGCAACCAAAAAAAAAGAAATAGAAAAGTACTTCTGTTGCAAATATTATTATTATTATTGACTCTCTTTTTGACTCTTCTTATTTTGCAGAGTTTAAAATGGCAATGTTTACTTTTCCTTTGTTTTTTTTTTTTCCCCTCAGAGACTAGCATCAGTCATTAGTTTCTTCTTTGATTTCTGAAAAAACCCCAAACAGATTCATAACAAAATGTGATTTCACATGTGTCGGAGACTGAAACGGTTGATGATTTATGCATTCTAGGATTGCCAAGGGACTTTTGCGGGCTTCTGCAGGACTTTTGCTTTATACCTCTGATGGCCCATCAAAGCCCATCCCCCCCTCTGCCAGTCTTGAAAGGCGAGAAAAACCCCTTTTACCGGGCCCCACACAGGAACTCTGCGCAGACCCAGGGAGATGTTGGAGGCTCATGACATGGCCTGTGACACTAACCACGGATATAATAACTCATAACTTCTTTGGGGGGGGGCTTCCCTCCTTCACCCCCAGTGGATCAAGGCCACCACTTCAACTGACAGACATGGAAATTGCAACTACCGAGTTCCATCGGGTCACCGCTGGAACTCCCCATGGACCGCTGGGGGCAGGGGTGGGGTCCGCCAGCAGACCCTGTGGGCGCTGACTATATAAGTCTTTCCACTCTGCATGTGAAATGACCTATGGCATGGCCACCACCCCACCCCAACCCATCGTTCAGAAGCCAGAAAGTGCCCGGGTCACCAGCCCCACAGCTGGGGTGAAGAGGCTCACCCTCTCTGGGGTGGAGGCTTTCATTCTCTCAAGCCCTCCCCCAGACCCAAACCAGGGGACCAAAGTCATCCAGACAGATACTCAGGGGCGGAGGAGGCACAGCTCAGAAACTTTCTTCTCCACCACCACTGTGACCCCAGTGTCCCCTTCCTTCGCACACAACCCCAAACGACACAACTCGGCCTCAGTGGAGAATGTGTCCCTGAGGAAAAGCGAAGGCCTGGAGGAGGAGCAGGGTAGCAGTCCCATGTGCCACGAGACCTCAGTTGGCTTCCAGAATGTCCTCAACTACATCACCATTGACATAGTGGGTGGGTCCCTGGGAAACTGTGACAAATCCAGGTTGAAAGCTAGGCACCTCCGGAACAGGGGCATCAATGGAGTAGAGATGAGCGCCTATGCCAGCACAGACTTTCACAACCTGAAAGAAGCAAGTGCTGTGAAAGGTGAGTAGCTATGTCTGAAAGTGCTTGCTATGTGTGTTTGTGCCTACCGTTTGCCATCACAGTGTTGTGTGTTTGTCGTGTAGAGCACTATCCCTCCTTGCTTCCTTAAAAATCACTCTTATCCCCCTTTTACACATCCTGTAATAAGCAGTTTTAGAGGAATTTGGTGGCTCTTTGTATGAGAAAAACGTTTAATTTTGTGATATTTCTTTACGTTTCAGTTCTACTGTGCCATTATTATGAGTGTATACTTCTGGGCATCCCAATAGAAGCTGATGTTTACACAGTTACTATGTTTGGGCTGTCCTTCAGTTTTCTTACATAAAATTTTGGAAAGTGTTTGGAAAATGTGACCAAAATATTTCATGTTAATGCAGCTTCTGAATACTACTTAAAAATGTAAAATGATTGACTTAAAACCAGAATTGTCTGACTGAGGACATCAGATTACAGAAACAATCCTCGGCTCTCTAGCTGAGAATGCCTGTAATATCAAAATGAGAAAGATAAATTTAATATCACGGTTTTGAAATACCTTCTCTCTTGAAAAAGTTTAACAGTAAATCATAGTAAACATAGAATGGGAATTTTAAAAAAATGTAATAATTCTTTCCAGAAGTCACTCTATGCTTGAGCTATTACACGTATCACACATTTCACTTAAGGGCCCACCCTGTGGTGGTGTGTAACTGTGTTCCAGCTGACGGCTCAGTCCCAGCATGGGTGACCAGTTGGTTGGCTTGCTTTTATATGGATTGCAAATGTTTGGTGTTCAAAGTAAGTTGAAGAAATCTGAAACTTTGCATGAGAGAGAATTTAGGTTTTAAGCATGTAGCTATTCCTTTATTGGGGTGCTGATTATGTTGTTAAAAGAAAAAATAAAGCAAAGAAACAAATACCTTCTCTTCTTCCCAAAATAGCAACCCACCTCCCCTCAATGAGTG